CCCTGTATTATGCTGATTTAGAATGTACCTAGAATTAAGCTTTTACATATTCAGATCTATGTATTTGTATATATAGCAGGATGCAAGGCAGCCATCAGCCATTAAAATTAATTTACATTGCAATCTGTTATTGATGAAAGAGTAAACATGGGACTAATCGAGAGGGTTAAGTTTTAATTGATGAAGACGTGATGTGGCGAGTTGCAAGTCAGTCATGGAGGTTAAATCATAGGAGTAAAAGAGGTGACTGAGAGATATACATTTTAACTTCACTTCTCTTATGTTTCTTTCTTAGCTCTTATTCCGTGATATTCCTGTTCGATATGAGGCTATGTGGAAAACAACTGTAGGTGTGAATAGCTCACGTATTAGTTAGAAATATGCTGGATGGTTTTTTTTAATAAAATTCCAGTAATTATAAAATTGACAAAGGATCACATATACATATACATATACATATACATATACATATGGTCGCTTTCAGCAAATTTTTATTCATTCCAATCCAGAAGTACAATCCCAAAGCAAAAGGAAGAAGTGTTAATACTTTAATGGTGATCCATATAGGATACTGACCAATTTCATATTACAGAAGACTAATTGTAGTGGTAACATTTTAACAATGTTCCTCATATGTTGCGACCTTGAAGTTGGTCTTGGTGACAGTGTCCCAAGATATGAGACTTCCCTCGTTAGTATTGGCACATATTGCCAGACCGGGGATGTCGACTTTATCATGGTTCCAGACGTTGACGCCACCAACGAATCCCACGAATGATGGATGTTTAGGAAGAGTATCAGGACTTGCCTCACACTGAGTGTGTCCAACAACCCATTTACCACCTGGAATTGTGTATTAGAATGACACACATTTAAAATCAAGACTTTTAATTAAAATTATTCATAACAAGTTGAAACAATAATGTTTGGTAAAAATTACATATTCACAGAAATTATATATACTGCTTTCGTCCGTTTGAAGGACTCGATCCGTTGATGGGTCCTAAATTAGAGTAAGGAATATTAAAATATTTTGACACCAGATATCAATTGATTGATCTAGTCGTTATTTTACAAGTGAATATGTGATATATGATATGATCACCAAAAGCAACCCCGTGAATCGTTTGACAGTTCAGTGAAGAAATGTATACGATGTTTACAGAAATGTATACGATGTTTACAGTTTTTTAAACATGCTGTGCCCTGTTTGCTCATATTGATGTGCTGGAAAGATAAGAGACTACAGCAAGGAGAAACAAATATCCATATCATCCAAATTATCATGTCATTTTACCTCCAGGTATACGTGAAACCTTAACATGTTGACTCAGCGCGTGGAGACCATCCCTGTAGATATTAATCTCTCTCTTGGCACCACTCCACACCACACACCAGTGGTGCCAGTTCCCATGGGCCGGTAGGGGCGCTTCAGCACGAGAGGATCTATTCAGTACATTATCGCCTTTCAAAACAACGGAGTAGCCGTGACCAACGGGATTGTATCCAAGTTCAATACACTGTCGACAACTCTCTGAGCCGTAGGATAGAATGGGGCCGCTTGTGGTGCGGGTGGTTTTGATCCATACGCAGGCTGTGAAGGCGTCTAAATCAGGGGTATTTGCTTGAAGTAGTGACCATGATAGGGTGCTATCCGGTTCTGGGAAATGCAGAACCCGAACACCATCTGAAATTAAAAAAGGAATACTGGCATGTAGGAAATAGTAAAGCCTAGATTACACTGTGCACACACACACACACACACACACACACACACACACACACACACATAATAGTAATAATATAAATGTTGAAAGCAATGATGTTTTCCGTAGCTAGCAATGGAGCAGAATGCTGGGTCTTCAGGAAAACTGATCAGAAATGAATCACCTCATTTGAACTATGGTTCGTGCTACCACAGATTACTACGCGCGATTTGGGTGGACAGACGAACAACTGACTAGGTCCTTGAACACACTGGGACATGCAACAGACTCTTAGACACCATCAACGAAAGGAAGTTTAGGTACCTCAGCCATGTAGCTAAAAGTGACGGTTTAGCGAAATATATCTTGATTGGAACTGTTCCGGAAAAAAGAAGACATGGACAACACAAGACTAGAATCTCTTTCAATGACGAGTGACAATGTTAACGAAACAGCAAACCAGTTGGAACACGGTTGCACTATATATATAGCATCTGTAGCATCTTAAATACCACCTTCAAGTTACGGGTTACCAGTCGCATACCGTTTGCCGAGTGCCAAACAACCTGTCAGCAATCCTTGATAATTGAAAACCGACTGCAGGCCTGTAACCACACGGTTGCAAAGATCATTAGTCGTAAACCTATAAATATGAACACATACGAAAAAGTGAACATGTTAACTCCGCATTAAACTGCGTCTCAGTTCATATTTTAAGGTATACTGGATTATCCTCTCTCTCTCTCTTAAGGTCCAGCAGATGTTTAAAGGCCATTTGCATTTCCCTGTGCATTCGTGACCATGGTTATTAAATTTTATCCTAGTGACGCAATCAGAGAGAAAAAAGTCTTTACATTTTCTTTAGCATTTGGATGACTATACACCGTTTGTAATCCCGTGAAAGAAAGAAAGAAAGAGAAAGGCAGACTGAACCAAAATATTGTAGTATGTGCCCTTAAAGAAAGGCAGATTTAACGTAAATATTCTAGTCTGTGCACTTAAAGAAAGGCAGAATTAACCTAAATATTCTAGTCTGTGCCCTTAAAGAAAGGCAGAGTTAAC